CAGGCGCCTGCGGAGCGGTGGGTAGGCAACCCTGCAGCGCGCCGGTGCGCAACAGGCGCGCATACCTCACAGGCGCCTGCGAAGCGGTGGATAGGCAACCCTGTAGCGCGCCGGTGTGCAACAGGCGTGCATGCGCATACCTCACAGGCGCCAGCAAAAGCCACGCAACGAGCGAGCTACGCGAGTTTAATGCCTACCCCGACCCTCCTTTCGCCCGTTGAAGAAGGGGTCTAGCCCGCGTAGCTCGATCTTTGTCTGGCCTCAACTACGGTAAAAAATTTAAATTTATGTGTATTTGGATTTCAATGAAACCAAACTTAGCAGAACTACTCGGTCAAGGTGCCGCGCCGTGCGATTCCGAATTGAATAAATCGCCCCGATCCCTTACTACCGAGGACAGCCGAGGCCGAGCCGAAGGCTGAGTCGGGGCACCGTCGGGCGCCACCGCTTGGTATTTTGAGTTCGGGGTTGACCGACTTTCCAAACGAATATTTAGTGGAGTCAGCGGCCAGCAGCGGCCGCCGGCATCCCGCGGTCGTATGCGTTTGCTGGGCGGCCCCGGCCCCGGTCACACGTTTGGAACAATCACTCCGACCAAGAAGGCACCAACGGTATTTTATTTTGCAGCGGTTTCTGATTATACACCTGTCCTTTTTCTGTATACTCGCCGATCTAATCTTGGGTCCAGCCGTCCACATCGACCGATACTGTTCGATGTCCGTCAGTTAGGGCTTGCCCGGGCGCCGCTCAACGCTTAACCTGCTCTGTGGCGGGGTGGGGAGAAGAGGAGCGTGCAATGCCCGTGTCAAAGATCGCTCACCTGGCGTCGGGCCAGCACACCCCCCCCCCCTCCTTCCACCGCCACCTCTCTTTCGCAAAAAGTGAAACGGACGCGCTGCCTCCGCCAGCATCCTGGGTCTTCTCCAAAGTCATCACCACGCCGCTGACCGCATCCCGCGGGAATCCCCTGCCCCTTTGAATGCCTTGAAAGCCCAAAGGCATTTCGCAGAAAACGGGTGGTGGTGACATGCAGCGGATGTGAGGTGAGGTGACGTCTGATGAGAAATCGAGAGGGGGGAGTGTGAAGCTCAGCACCAGTGGGCTAGAGAGAGATACAGGGGAGGGTGGGGGAGGATCGTGGTAAGGAATTGAGGTCTGGGAGGGGAAGCTTTGCAATGAAGTTGCTGGTCAGTCAGATTAATAATAGTACCGTGTGTCAGTCTCCGCCCCCCCCCCCCTCTCTCTCCCTCGCTCTCTCTCGCTCTCTCTTTCCCTTTCTCCCTCGCTCGGGGTGAGCTCCACGGCACGGTGGCCGGTCACTCTGCCGCTGCAGCCGGACGCTGAGCGGGCCAGTTGCCGGCCGACGCCCTCTCGCACGCCGCACCGCACCGCCGCGACGCCCGCGTGAGGACGCTCGCCCCCAAAAGACGCCACCGCCGTCTCCCCGCGCGCGGACCGGGCCGAGCTGCAGCCGCGATAGCACAGCACGCACTTCTCTCGCGCGGGAGATTTCCTCTAGAGCTCCTTTAGAGTTCCCTCTAGGGGAGCAGTGTCGCGAGTGCCGGCCCGTCCGCGATAGGCTCCAGCTCAGCCGCGTCGAGCCCGCGGCCTGTCGGATGCAAGAGGCGACATGCCGGTGACGCGCTGTGCCGCCGCCCCCGCTGCACACGCCGCGGGCCTCCCCGCTGCCGGAGTCACATTTGCGCCCGGAGGGGCCGACTGCCGGTGCCGCCGCGGCAACCCAGGTACTGAGGGTCGAGGGTCGAATAAGGTCGCATCCTAAGGGCAGACCTCTTTACCTCTTACCATGTTTAAAAAGCAGTAACACGAACCATTTGAACCGCGTCGTAGGGACGCTTAAAAGAAAAGACTCACCGGAGTCATAACTTGATAGTGTTCCAGTAAAACTTAATAGATTATCCCACGCTACTTCCTGAAAATAAGCCATGAGTAACCCCCACTGCTTGTTTCCTCTGTGCCTCGCGTCTCGCACCCACGCGTGCCGCTTTATAAAACACGATTAGTTGTGAGCAAGTGAGTGCTGCTGCTTCCGTCTTGTCGCGAAGGGAAAGGGAAGGGAATTCCCCCCTCCTGCGTGGCCGACATGGATAAGCAGCAGCGCGAGCCCTAATAGGAGTTGTGAGGGCCGGGCCGGCCTGGGCCACCGGCCTTCGCAGTGTGACGTCGCGGCCCTCCGCGCCCCGTCGCGATACAGTCAACAACCTTCGTGAGGTCCGCCGCGCCCATATGCACGAGCACCATGGTGCAGGTCAGGCCACGGCCGGCCCGAGAGTGACAAGGAAACGCGCTCAAAGCAGAGGGGGATGGGAGGGAAGGGGGACTTCAACATTCCAATTTCAACTTCCTTTACACGAAAAAAAAATAATTGTCCACCTCTGTGACAATGGGGACCAATAAATATTGGTGCGAATTAATTGAAACACTCTACCAACTTTTTCTGGTTTTCGGCTTTGTCCTACCCGAAGCCGCCGCTCATAGTCAGTCCCGAGAGCAGGCAGGCCGTGCGCCCCGATTTGTTTTGGAAACACCACTTGTCCGTCCAGCGAGTCGCGTCGCTTTCTGTCACCTCGGACCCATTCATTCAGTGCGGGCCATGGGGGCGGGGCGGGGAGGGGAGGCCCCTCCCAGCGAAACTCAATCCACGCTAATTTCTTTTGACGAGGAAACAAAAATCTCGTCGTTTGGGGGAGGTGAAATCGGGTGCAACTGAACACGTGTGAAGTGCGGGATTGAAACATAAAACTATTCGAATGTTTCATATGACACACTGTATGTGTCAGCCAGAATTGCAAATGAAGAGCATGTCGCCACATCACCGGCATCCTTTATGAAGTGCCTGGACGTATTTGGACAGAACCACCGTATTGCGAACAGATTTTCTTTGTATTACAAAGAGCGCCACTTACAATCGACACGTGCTCTTCGTATTACGGAGCCGAAACCTTCGCAATACAAAGGATTTGTTTGTATTACGAAGGTTCCAAATCCTTTGTACGTTACAAAGAACAGCTCTTTGTAAGAAACTTACAGTGTCCCTTACTTACAGACTCCCGGTCTCATCCCAACCGCACTATTGCGGTTATAGACGCATGACCTGTGATCAGACCACGCGCCTTGGATGGAACCGGATGGAACTCATTTTAATTTAATTTTAATCCCTAACCGTTCGATGAGGTCCTGCTGGGTGGAGCCCTGGTGGGTGGGTGCATTTCACAGTCATATAGTTGGCACCAAGATTTCAAAAAGCATAGACCTCACACTCAGACGAGCCTTAGCAACTGTTTGGTCTAACCTTTTTTCATTTTGATTCAATAAACCAAAATTTATGTTATCAGGAACCGTCTAGTTCTCATTTCTCTCCTGAGAGACCCCGTCTTATTCTCGATCACAACAAGAACTCGTACTCGTACTAGTTTTTTGCGTTATAATACTCCGCGAAAACGAGTGATGAACATCGGACCGGTTCTATATGCCTCGCTGGCCGGTCTTCCTCGGTCCTAGCTAGCTTTTTACCCGGTTCTAACGCTCGGTGGGCTCATTTAAAATTCCTTGGGGCCCAGAGAAAATGCGACGAAATTTTTCCGTGACGCTTTAGGCCAGCCGGTGCGAAATGCTTTGGTTCACGACGCTTGTGTGTGACGTGTCCGTCTTTGTACAGACAGAATCGGTTTTAGATTCCGACGTCACCACCGTCGCCGCCCTCGTGTTCACTCGTGTTCCGAGACAATGGTCGCGCGGGACGAGACTCAGACCTCTATCCTCTTACTCATTCGGACGCAGCTCAAGACGCCGGGTGTCGGAGCGCGGCGCCAAGAGCATGGCTATAGGACGGCGGCTAGGGCCACTGTCCCCGGGGGGCTACTTGCGAGAGGATGACGTGCTCCTCTGGCTCCCTATCTCTCTCTTTCGCACGCAGCGAGTGGGATCGGTTCGGGCCAAACGGGTGCGTTTCGGATGCGAGCCTGGCGGGGGGTTGGGGTATCTGACTTGGAGCCTTGCCATTATCAAAGCCGAGAGCACCCAGGAGTGGAGAAGTGGAGCACGGGGAAGCTGGGCTGCCGAGCCGCGAGCTGAGCAGAGTAAAGCTATAGAACAAGTTGGTTATGCGGAGCATCGCATTTCACTCTAGTTGCAGAGGCTTGCGCCGACTCACGCCTCCATTCGTAGGGATCTGTGTTAAGTTCATCCAGCGTTGCATCATGCACCATGAGATGCCAAAATTAAACCAACACACACACACTGTAAAATTCAGTAATAGTGCATCCTTTTCCTCAACCGACCCCTCAATAACGCTGTTCTTCTCTGCCTGCAGGTTGGCCGAGCGCCCTCGCCTTGCGACACCCTGCCGCTGCACAGTGCTGCTGGCGGCCCCGAGGGCAGCCCTGAGCAGTGAACAGCCCCCTCACGTCGCCGGGAGCGGACAGGCGCGACCATGTTCATGAAAAAATGGCGACAACACCTTGCCGCCATTCTCGGTGAGTGACCCCGCCGGGTTTGAGGGGCGGCGAAAGGCGCGAGGGATTTAAAAACCGGCGCGCAGGCGACAGGGGGACCCGGGACCCTCTCTGTCTCTCGCGGTGAAAACGACACGAGAAGCAGGCGATTATTGTTGTTTAGATAAGCGGGATTTGCACAGCAGTCGAACCCGCGGACGGGTGTTTATCAGCAGCAGGGGTGGGGCGGCGTCGGCGGGGCGAGCGGAGGGGTTGGGGAGGGGCTGCTCCTGCCTGCCGCCTCTCGCGAAGTGCAAGTCAGACGGCGAGACGCTCTGCGGGCAGACCGCGCGTGAAAGGGCTCCGTTTCAAAACCAGTGCTTACCGGCTGCTTCTATCGCGAACCATATGGAAGGTGGGGGAGGAGGGGGGGCGGTCCGTTAGCTTATTGCCGGCTCACACGGCCCTGGCGTGTCGTGTGGACCCAACGCCCCCACCCCTCCCACTCACAGCCCTGCACCTGACTCACTTCCCGGACGCTGAAGCCCGTCTCCTCTTAGCCGGGGGTGCGTTCTCTCTGCGAGCCAAGTGTTTGTCTTGTGGCTTCTTTGGTGTCGCTTCTCTGAGAATCGGAGATCCCATACGAGAAAAAAAAAAAGATGTTACTTCTTTGAAGCCCTCCGCCCCCTCCCCGGTCATGCTGCGGTGTGTACCATCCATTCCTTACACTTTTGGGTCATTTGCCTTTCGCCCGGCGAAGAAGTCGTCGTACAAACAGACGCGCTGTCACCACGAACGATGGAAAAGTTTCACTGCGACCTCCTCTGGCGCCAGATTACGCGAAACTATTTTATAAATCAATAGCAAAAGCGGCAGTGCTACCCGCTGGCCTGGCGTGCCCCGCATCGCCATCGGCCGGTTAAAAGGGGAAGAGGGAGGGAGGGAGGGAGGAGAGCGGGAGGGAGGAGAGAAGGGAAGGGGGGAGAGGAAGGGGTTATCGCCTTAACAAGATAAAGAACAACTTTTCTTCTCCATTCTGCTTTGATTCCGCCGATTCAATTGACAGCCTCTGGTTGTGGCGAGGAGGGGAGGATGGAGAAGAGGGGGAGTTGGAGGGGAGGGGGGCTCGCGCCGGGCGCACGCACAGTTAGGTTAGGTAAGCGCCTCGCCTTATGCCTGCGCGTTTGCTCCGCTTGCTCTGCTTCCGCGACCCGTAAACGAGTCGTTTGGGCCTTCGCTCCTCTACCGCGTTCTCTTATCGGCGGGAGCCCCGGGAGCCTCGTGGTCTCGTGACGGGGCTGTGCCACTTATTGACACTCGGCCGGGCCGGATGCCAAAGACTCTATGAGCCGGAGAGGCGGTGGAAGCGGCCACCTACCTCTCTGAAGCGGCCCGCCTCGCAGAATATGGACCCGAATAGCGCCCCTACTTTCCCTAATCCGATTGACGATCGCTGATTGGTCCCGTGACCCACTCGTTTGTTGTTTTGCAGCCAACCACACGACGCTCGTGGCGGGGCTGGTGCTGGGATGGACCTCGCCCGTGCTCCCCGTCATGGACCTGTCGTACAACGAGGAGTCGTGGGTGGCGTCGCTGGCGCTGCTGGGCGCGCTGGTCGGCGCCGTGCCCGCGGGCTGCCTCACGGACCGCCTGGGCCGCAAGCGCTTCCTGCTCACCCTCAGCCTGCCCTTCCTGCTGGGCTGGGGGCTCATCGTCGCCGCCCTGTGGGGCCACCGCGAGAAGGTCTTTGACGTGAGTATACATCGGCGGTCTGCCACTGAAGCTCTTATACCCCACCAGGAAAGACGCCCATCGCAAAAAGACCATGACGACAACAAATGCGACCATGACCGCGAATGCGACCCACGACCGTCAATACCACGATCATCACCACTACAACCACGACACTGCGTTGATTGCGAGGGGTGCAAAGAGAGAGGCACCCTGGTGTATGCACAGACAGCAGCTGACAGGCGCTGACAGGCGCTGACAGGCGCTGACAGGCGCTGACGCGGCCGCTTGGTATTTCAGCTCGGCGGCGGCGTTGAGGCGGTGGCGGGAGCCCATCCCATCCGCACACGTCTACACCATAATCTTGCTCTTGGACGAGCATGCAACCGAAACCGGCTGTAACCGGTGGCGGTGGAGAGTTTGCTGCCTCCGAGTAGCAGCAGCCAGCAGAGGCC